TCCGACGAGCAGTTTGCATTGGGGTGGGTCGTGATCCCGACCTCGTCGCCGTCCGCGCGGTTGGGAGGAGGAGGAGGAGGAGGAGGAGGAGGAGGAGGAGGAGGAGGAGGAGGATGCGGAGGAGGAGGAGGAGGAGGAGGAGAGGGAGACATTGAGGATAAGGAGGAGAAGGTTTCTTGGGGCCTTCTTGGGGCGTCCTGGGGGCCTCCTGGGAGCTCCCTGAAAGCTCCTTGGTGGCCTCGTGGAGGACGCTTGGCGATCATGGGGCCTCTTGGGCCCGTCTCACGCCTACGGAGGCCGCCTTGGGGGCCTCTGCGGGCCGCGCTGGTGCATTTTAGAGCGGTCCACGCCCGTCTTAGGGCCCTTTGGGGAGCTTTGTGCGATCTTTGGATTCTCTTGGGTCGACTTCGGGCCCTCTTGGGGGCCTCTTGGGCTGCCTTGGGGCTATTTGGGAGGCCTCTTGGATAGCTATTGGGTCGTCTTGGGCGGTCAGAAACATGCCAGGACCTCAAAATCTGGCGAACTCAGGAAACTGAATGTTTTTGGCCTCTGGGGAGGGCCTCTGAGAGACCTCTTGGGGGCCGTCTTGGTGACGCCAAACTGGGCCAAGATGGCCCAAGAGGCCCCCAAGGAGGCCTCAAGACAAATCAACAGACCCCCAAGACGGCCCAAGAGATCTTCAAGAGGATTTCCAGGAGAGCCCGAGGAGGCCGTCTTTGGGCCCTCTTTGGGGGCCCCTTGGGCAATCTTTGTATCCTCTTGGGCCGGCTTGGGGGCCCTCTTGGAGGCCTCTTTGGCTATCTTGGAGCTATTTTGGATGCCTTTTGGAAGCCTCGTGGGCCGTCTTGGGTGGTCGGAAACACTTGCGACAATCAATGGTTTTGGCCCCCCTCGGGCTCTCCGGAACGGCCTCTTTGAGCTCTCTCGGGCCGTCTTGGGGGCCCCTTTGGCTGGCTTGAGGCCCTCTTGGGCTTGAGCCGTCTTGAGATTCTTTTGAGAGGCTCTCGAGCTGTCTTGAGCCAACTTGAGCCGTTCTGTTGTCGTCTTGGCTGTCTGGGAAGCCGTCTTGGAGGCCATTTCGGCCGTCTGGAGGCCGAAAAGACCGCCAGATAACAGTTTCAAGAGAGCCTGTTTTTTTATACGGGCGCGCGTAGGGAGGGAGGGGGCTTTACAACTCTACAGGGCCTCCCACCAGGCAGCACGACGCCAGCGAACATGCACACTCCGTGCAGGCAGGCACGTTGGCGGACTCTTCTGCTTTCCAGGCCAGTGCGCGATCGGGGGTACGAGACGTGCGGGAGGAGCGGGACCGGTAGCAGTTCCTTTTCCTTTGGCAGAGGGTCGCTGTTGGTGTGGCCGCGAAGGTTGCCATTCTGGGGAGGTGAAGGCACAAGATGAGGAGAGGAGGGGGACGGGGGAGGAGGAGGAGGAGGGGATTGAGGAGCAGGAGGGGGAAGGGGAGTACGAGCGAGGGAGGGGTCGGAGGGGGAGGAGGGGGGAGGGGGCGGGGGAGGGGGAGCTCGTGCTTCTTGCAGTTCATTAGTCCTTCTGCTCCCAGGAGAGGCGGTTGCAGGAGTACTTGTGCCAGAAGCAGCACGCCGTCATCCTGCAGGGGGCCGCCCGGGAGCTCGCGCACACGCTCGAGCCCGCCGTGACGTCGAGCACACAGGATGCAGTCGCAACCCCCCGACAGGCAGACAGACAGACAGACAGACATCGAGGTTTCCCAGGGTCCAGTGCTCCTCGCCGTGCGGGGGAGCAGCTTGCGGGAGGTGGTTTCTCCACGTTCGGCCGCGGGGGCTTCACCGGGCCCCGGGACCGTCACATTGACCCAGCCAGCGAGGTACCGTAATAGCAACTAAGGTTTTGGCATCGCTCGGACGTGTGGATTTTTCCTTCGGCGAGGACCATCGAGGAGCATCCTTGATCATTTGGCGAAAAAACCACGCACGAAACAGAACAGAACACAGGGAATGGACGTCCGAGCGATGGCCAGAGGTGTGGTGGTGGATGGGCGCCTGAAACGTCGGCTTGCGAGAACGACCTCATCAAATTGCCAACGCGACTACGGAGATGAATTTGCTGATGAGTGCGACGTCCGTGATGTCCCCATGGTGGAATGAATGCGCGTGGGATAACCCGAGTAAGCGATTAAGGACCCCCCCCCCCCTCTCCGGTGAAAGGATAACGCACCCGGCACCCGGAAGCGTTATCCTGGCACCAGGAGGGGGTACACCAGATCGCACGGGTCCCACGGAGTCCCGCAGGTCTCGCAGGTCCCACAAGTTTCAAAGTGGTTCCCGTGTGAGGTCCCACAGGTCCCACCGGTGTCGCAGGGGAGGGGCTTCTCGCGGTGCCTTATTCGCATTCGTATTCTTATTATCATTACAATTCTAATTGGGATGCCACCCGAGGCGAGGCGCTGGAATTATTTATTTTCCTTCCATTTGCGCGGTGCTAATAATATCGCTCGGCGAACCCCCCCCCAAATAATTATTTAATTACGGCGCGGTGCTAATGATAACGCCGGGGAGTTCCTTAATTGCTTCTCCGGATTAGCATTACGAAACGAGCGACTCCACTCCTGGCAGCTGGAATGGTGAGAAGCCGATGACACTGCCATCTTTCTGGACCTAGGACAGCTGGAATGGTCATAATCCGACGCCCCTTCCACAATTTCAGGACCTGCGACGGCTGGAATCGAGCCATGACGCCTCATTCCTGGATCTGAGAGGGCTGAGGCATGCGCCCCTTCCCCCCCCCCCCTCTATAGAGTTTATGATGAGATTATGGTTTGGGAATTCGAATTGAGCCAACCGAGCCAGAAAGCCATAGTGAGTATCATTCTTGGGCCAAGTCGAGCCAACAACCATGTGCATTATAATTCCTTTGATTTGGGAAGGTTGAGAACGAGCCCAAAAAACAATGGCGAGCTTAATTGCTGAACCGAATCGAGCCAACACATGAGAGTGAGTCTCATTACTCGATCTGCGAGGGCTGAACACGAACCAGCACATGTGCTCCCCGTTGTGGAGATTATGGTGAGTGGAATCTCCAAATAATATCGAACCAAAAACACAAGAATCACACTGACAGTTCGGGAACAAATCGAGGCATAGCACCATCTGACTCTTTTGCTTCGGCCTGAGAAGACTGAAATCGAGCCAGGACACAAACTGATTTCCATTTTTTCACCATAGAGCCGAACAACCAAATTGAGCCTACTTTCGTAATTTGCGAGGGCCGATGTCGAGCCTGAACACCAGTGTGGGTCGATGTTGGGTGGCTTGCTGGACCGATGCGACGCCTCTTCCCGGCCTCCCCTGCATGTAGAGATTCGGACGGAAAGGACATCGAACCCAAACACAATAGCGATATCCACTTGTGGAGCACATCGAGCAAGACCACCATAGTGGGTCTAATGTCTAGATCCTTCGGCACCTGTGCCGCCGGGTGCCCTCGTGGCGCCCCAGGAAAACACGCGGTTTGGCAGCCCGATCGTCGCCACAACCCGACGGGGCTGTGGGAGAGACTCTTGCTGTGTGGTTGGCCAACCACAGTGGGTTCGGGCCCGCCGTGCCACCCCTGAGAGGCCTGATGTGGTTATTCGACAAGGTCCCCCGACGGGGGGGGGCGCGGGAACTAAAGTCCTCGGGCAGTGGTGTCTCCGCTGCTTGAGGCCGGCGGCCAAGTGGGAATGGTGCCCGCGGCCCTGTCTCGGGGTGGTATCTCAAGTCTTTTCGCAACATCGGCGCTGATAAAATGCTTGGGGTGGGTCTGTGCTGCCATTCATGTTGCGAGGTACGACTGCAAGTGAATTCGCGCAGGCACCTTGGGCACCTCCGTTCGGGTTGCGTCGACCATGGCTTCTGTCTGGGCCAGCGCGGTATTGTCTGGATCAGGGAGGTTCGTCATCGATTTCGAAAGCAATGATGAAGTCCATTGCTGAGCCAAATCGAGCCATGACGCCATGGTGATATTCATGTTTGAACCAAGCGCAGCCAGAACACAATGCCAAACCGATTCTTGACAGCCGCCGGACCGTTGAGGCGCCCCCCCTGGCCGTCTATGCGGAGATTCTGGCGAGAGGAATTCGGATCTCCTCTAGAACCCTGTAACGAAGCGCTATTCGGAAAAAACGACTCGGGATGACCAGCTCTTGCGAGGGAAACGGCTCCGCAAATTATTGTACATCTATCAAACCAGAAAATGAAGAAGGATATTGTTCAGACGAAAAACAAGAACAGCAATAGTGAGCATCATCACAAAAAAATAGACGAATCTTCAGAACAATAATCATACCACATCTACTATTGAACTTACAATGGAAATGAACGTTTTCATAATCATACGAATAGTACTAGTACGGGCAATGCGAATAATAATAATAATAATCATCATCACCATCATCATCATAATACTAATCATAATAATAATAATAAGAGCGATAAACATAAGAACGCGCACAAATGCAACGAACACTTCCGGACACCTGGACGGCATTGCTGAATCGGCGTTGGAACCTTCCTGGCGGCACCTCCAGCGCTGCTGCCGAAGCCCGACGGCGGCTCGAAGCACGTCGTGCTTTTCCCGACGCTCATTCGCGTGCGGGTGCGCGCGAGGGCCACCGCGGCTCGCGCCTGGGAGGCAGCTCGCGCGTTTTCGTCGGTATTTGGCGGCCCTGGCCGCGGCGCACAGGGCGCCGCCTCGGCGGCAGCGCTCGCGGCCGAGGCTTCGGCGGCCTCGGCGTGCCACCACGTCGATTCCCTACTTTACCAGCCTCGAACGTATCCCTATCCCTAAGATTGACACGCCAAAAGGCGATGACAATCTTAGGGATGCGCCGTGAAAAACTAAGAGAATCCCTAATATTGGCATTGTGTTGAGGCGATGCCCAGCTTAGGGATAGGGATATGTTCCAGGCTGGTAACTACTCGACCTGATTCGAGCGGATTCCTCGTCATCTAGCGGCTGCAGCCGCCATTCGGTTGGAGTTCGAAATGGCCGCCTTGCGATTGTCACTAGCGGCCTGCTGGCTGGCTAAGGCCGCTGTCGTAGAATGGGCGTTTTGCTGCCTGCTCATCGCTACTCGCGGCATCGCGGTCGTCTCGGGGTTCGCCGCGGTCGAGCTCCAGGCGTTGCTGCACGAGTCCATGCCCAATGCCGCATCTCGCTGGTTTCTGTTGCAGTTGCATTTGCACCTGGATGACTTGACCATCATTGCGTCCGGTTTCTCCGGGGATTTGTTTTTCTTTTGCCTCTTGCTGACGGTCTCGCCCAAGAAGTCGTTACCGTCGCTTCGATTCCCCGGCCAGCGGTTCGGCTGCCCTTCATGTCCAAGCGGCGGCCGGTGGTGCCGAAACGCAGTGCCGAAACTGTTGGGCGCGCTCTACGCTGGCGGCAGCGCGCGGACAGCGGGTGTCTTGAGAAACCCTCCGAAGTAGTGCAAAGCCCGCATCCCCGGAATACACGCTCTCAGGCGCCAGCGCGCCGATGTCGCTCAAGTGTGGGAGGGGGGGGCGGGCAGCCCCGGCATGCCATGCGGCGTGGACATCGTCGGCGCTTCCAGCGCGCACTTGCATCGCGCGCAAGTCGCAGCGCTCAGGGCGGCGCTGCCGCCAGGCGCCAACTGGAACGTCCGCGTCGGCTTCGCCGTCCTCGATGCTGGGGGCGATTCCATCGATCCCGCCCGCGCGGCGCATGCCGCCCCATTGCCCCATTGGGGCTTGGTTCGCTGGCAGGGCCTGATGCTCGCAGAGGACCTGGGCGCTGTTTTCGAGCTGTCCCAGGGTCGCGTGGCCAGTGTTATGGGCGGCGGCTGGCCGCCGTGGCCCGTCGCGGCTGGCCCCGGGGCGGGCGTCGCAGCTGCGGCTTGTCGCCCCGAGTGGACGCGCTCAACGCCGCGGCTTTTGGCGAACGACCTCGGCGGGCCCGTCGAGTCCCTCCTCGCGCCCTCCGCGATGGCGGCAGCTGCAGTGCGCGGATCCGTCGGCCCGTGGCGCGCGCAGCGGGTCAGCGGCGATCCTGACGCGCATCTCGACCGGGGCGCTGGCGCGGTCGCCGTCCTCGTCGGCCGCCCCCTCGTGGCCCTCCTCGAGGACCGCGGGCGCCCGCGCAGCACGCTGCCGCAGCGGCCGGGCCCGCCGCCGCGGGGGGTCGGCGGCCGCGGGCCCGGCGGGCCAGGCTGCGGGGCGGCCGACGTCGAGGGCCAGGCCTGCCAGCTCCGCGGAGTCGCGCGGGGCGCCCTCGGGCCTCGCAGGGCCTGCGAGGCCTCGCCGTCGCCGAAGGGCGGCTGGGGCCGCCGGGGACATGCGGGCTTTTAAAAGCCTCGCCGTCGCCGAAGGGCGGCCAGGGCCGCCGGGGACATGCTTGGCGAGCAATTGCTCGCCAAGCACCCGGGGACTCGCTTCGGGCCTCTTCGAACCCACAGGCTTCCGGCGTTCCCGCGGCCGCGCCCTGCGCCGCAGGCAGGGGTGGCCGCCCTCTGGTTCACGGATTCGCCCGGCGTCTTTCGCGCCGATTTCTGTTGGTGCACGGGCGGCTCCGTGAATTCGAATCCAGCGCACCGCCTAGGCGTTTGTTGTTGCGTTTGACGCCAGGGACCTCGCGGCCCGCGGCCGCGCCGCGACTCCGCCTTGGGTTCGCGCGGCGTCTGCTTTAGAGCTCTGGGCCGTCGCGCTCGTGCTCTCCATCGCCGCGGCGCCGCCTGTCTTTCGCGCCGACTGCCGGGCGCCCCCGACTGCGGCAGGAGCAGGGGCGGCGTAGGGCACCAAGCCCACCAGGATGCGCGCGCAGCGTTGGTCTCGCGTGGCCAGTCTCGGCGACGGCGACGCGTCGGCCTTTGCCGCTGCTGGCTTGCTTACCTAGGCGCCAGCTCACGGCGCTCAGTCCGTGAGTGGCGTGGCCTGAGGTCCGATGGACACGCGGCCATTGCAGCGGATTGGAGGGCCAAGCGCTAGGAGGACGCCTTGAGGACGCCGCCAGTTGTCCGCAGCCGTGAGGTCCAGCTTCGGGGCTTCCCAACATCTCAGAGGATCTCGCGGCGCACGAGGGAGCGGTCTTGAGCGCAGTCGCGCGCGCCGCGGACCACCGCGAGCGCGTCCTGCGTGGCCTGGGCTGCGCCGCGAGGCGGGTCGCGGCGCGCGACTCCTCTTCCTCCTCCTCCTCCTCCTCCTCCTCCTCCTCCTCCTCCTCCTCCTCCTGCTCCTCCTCCTCCTTTTCCTCCTCCTTCTTTTCCTCCTCCTCCTTCTCCTCCTCCTGCTCCTCCTCCTCCTGCTCCTCCTCCTCCTCCTCCTCCTCTGCCTGCTCCACCTCCTTTTCTTCCTCCTCCTCCACCTCCTTCTCCTCCTCCTCCTCCTCCCCCTCCTCCGCCTCCTCCTCCAGACTTTGTTGCATCAGCTTCCGCGAGGCACGCGTGTTCCTCGCTGTGGCCCTGGATGCCTGGGGCGCTTTGCACAGGCACCTCCAGCTCTGCGCCAGGTGCGTTCTGCGCTCCAGGGAGGAGGAGGAGGAGGAGGAGGAGGAGGAGGAGCAGGAGGAGGAGGAGCACGAGGAAAAGGAGGAGGAGGAGGAAAAAGAGGCGGAGGAGGAGGCTCAACACCCCAGCCGTGGGGCGCCGTTTGTCACCAAGCCTCTGCCGGCCACGTGCTTCCCGTCTCCGCCCGTGGCCGTCTGGGCGGTCAGCACATGCGCTCGGGTGCTCGTGGAATGGGATCGGGGGCACAGGCGCCGCCGCCGTTCGCCTTGTCCTCTCGTTCGTTGTCCTCCCCGTCCTCATCCCATTTCCGGCTCGTTCTGCCTGCGTGTTCACGGCTTCAGTGGCAATGCGAGTTGTTGCCGATGCTTGGGTCAGGAGATTTCTGCCCGGTGGCTCGTGGAAATTGTTAGCGGGTGTCATTCGGCACGGCACAGCACGCGGGTTGCATTGTTTCATGGGCCAGGGGAGGACGGGAAAACCTCACCAAGAAAAAACAAGGTGAATTTAGTGTTGTGAACTTATTGTTTCGTTTAGGTGTGTGTGTGTGTGTTGTGTGTGTGTTGTGCGTGTGCGTGTCGGCCCTACCGGGCCGACGCGCCCACCGTCTCATCGCATAGTAAGTGTGTTGGGGTGGCGTGGTGGGCGTTTTTGCCCCCTACATACCGCCTTGGCAGCGTTGTGCTATATATTATGATCGGGCGCCCGCTTCATAGCACGGAACGGTCGCGGCTTCGCCCGCGGCTTCGCCCTGTGCATCCTCCAAGCCCGCATGCCTTCAGAGATCCCCGATTTCTCCCAGCATCGTTTGCCACATCCCCACCCCGATCCCAATCTCCACCATCCCACCACCCCAGTTGGGGATACGCCCCTCAAAACTCAGGCGGAATAGGCTATAACCCTACCATCGGCCAGCACGTCAGTGGGGATGGGGATCGGCTCAGCGTTGCGTTGCCCATGCTCCTCACCCGTATATGTTCTCATCACCATTTTCCATATTTCTTCCTTCTGCGCCTCAGGATGGGCTGGTGCACTTCGGTGACTTGCTTTTGCTGACTAACCGCGCCACTGGCGGCCTGCTGCAGGCAGCGTGCCGCGCGCACCAAGGGGGGGGGTCATAGTTCTTCTTCCTCCTCCTCCTCCTCCTCGTCCTCGTCCTCCTCCTCATCTTTCCTCCTCCTCCTCCTGCTGCTGCTTGCTATTGGTGCTGCTCCTCCTCCTTCCTCCTCCTCCTCCTCCTCCCTCCCTCCCTCCTCGATGCTTTTTCGTTGTTCTTCGCTTGCCCAGACTACAGGCTCTGCTCATTTCGCCGTTTCTTTGCCTGGGCCCGACGCGCTTGGCTCAAACATGCAGCGCCCCGTGCACGTTATCAGGAGAAGCGCCCATTTTCCATTTCAGTTCTTACGTCCCATTTTGTTATCCAGTACCACGGCCGCAATGACCCGCCAAGCGTCGACCGCCATGACTCGATGTTTTCTGCCACGCCCATGACAACCTTCAGGCGTCCAGCGGTTCATCCTGGTAGTCATGCTTTGCATCATCCGCTTTCGTCGCCTCCGTGCAGTTTTTCCCGCTCACCTTCGGGGCAGCCGCCCTTCCGCCTTCAGGACCATTAGTTCGACACTTGCGCAACCAGTACCACTACAAACTACAAGAGCGCGGGCGAGACCTTAAGGACCCCGGCCACGCGCCAGCTCTCTAGGTGATCCCCCCAGGTTCGCATTGTCTGCGCCAGCGCAGGTCGCCGATGGTAGGGTTTCGCTGCGCCTGTTTGTGAGACTATAAAGCACGACTGCAGGACAGTTGCTCGATACAACGTTGACACATACGGCGTCGGTCAATGGCCCCAGTGTGTGGTGGCTGCGTCACGAGAGCCTTTGGAGGCACAGGCGACGAAAAGCGGGGAGGCAATGGAGGGTCAGGCGATTGTGTCGCCAGCCCTCCGGGGGACAGCGAAACGGATTTGGGGGAACCCGTCTTCGATACATTGGCACACGGTTTTTTTTGCCCACGCATGCCCTGCAGTTAATCGTGCGTCCCGATGCGCACTCCTCTTGGTTATCGTACAGATGGCCGCTCTCAATACAGCGACGGCGCCACGTACGACGAGCATTCCCCTGACTGTGCCACGGGCTGTTCCGAGTGCTGAGAGCACTACCACCGCGCGACGGAAGCAGGCGCCCAATGCGCAAATGAGGAGGAACAGGCGTGGGCCAAGTACCCACGGTTGTTCCGAAGCACCTTACAGAAGCAGCGCCGCTGCTGGATCCCAGGCCTCCAGCACTTCTACGACACGTGGAGTGTGCTTGACCCCGAATGGAAGGCCGTCGGAGTGGGTATGGTTGTTATGATCTCTTCTGCGGGTCGGCGACAGGGGGGCCCGAACGGCAAGCTCGAGCGCCCATTCAGAGGTGGGTGCGTTTGGCGATGGTTTGGTCAGTGGCGAACTCAGATCTCAAAGAGTTTCGTACAGCTGCCCGCGTCTCGTCGCGCCGCGACCGCATGGCGCGCGTGTGCGTGGACGAGCGGCCGCCTGCCCTGATCCATGCAGCGGGGATTCATCAACGGCAACCCAGCGCCACCGCCTATCCTCCTGAAACACAACTTGGGCGAGTGATGGGGCGAACTGCGCGATTCGGAGCGCGCCTCGGCAGTGCCGGAGCTGGTGAACATGCCGCAGGGGCGCATGGACAACCCTTTCGCGCGTCTCGATCCACCGCAAATTGGCGCAGCAACTTCGTTCGCCCATCAACGGTTATAAGGGCCGCCCCTTCTGCCGCGCGCCGCTGGCGCGTCGATCATCCAGCTGACCATGATCTTGCAGCGCTGCGACGTGGCCGAGCCCACGAACGCAGCGCATCTTGCGCACGCGACGTTCCAGCTGCGACGCGTCGGGCACATGGTCGAGGGATCGCCGGGCGACCTCGCCGCGGCGTTCCAGTCTGCCCGACAGGGCACCTCCCTCGCGGGCGCGCCAGCGCAAGGTCCGTTCACTGGCTTCTGCGGCGCCGTGGCCATCCAGATCGAGCTGGGGCGGCATGGGCCCAGCTGCGCATGGGGCGGCACGGGCGCGCGCGCCAGAAGCCGACGGCGACGCCTGGCGCGGCACCACCACGCCAGGGCGCATTCCCAGCAGCAGGCGTCGACTCGGGCACCGACGTCGACACCGTCAGCTTATGCTGCGAAAACATTGCCGCAAACGACCCCGAGCCCAGCAACTGCCAGCCCGCGCGCCGAGTCCAGGGGGTCACCGAACGAGAGTGCAAGGGCCGAGCCGAGGCAAGGGCCCCCTCTTCTTCCTGGCCGGCAGCGGGTCACAGGCAGCGCACCTGAGGACGACCACTCGCGACGGTGTGACCAGTCAGCACAGCATGCGCGCTCCTGCCGAGGAGGTTGCTGGCGCTGACCTCGCTGCCCCAGGAGGTCTGCAGTCCGCGCGGTCCAATGGCGGGGCGGTGGAGACAGGCGTCGACCACGAACGCTTCACTTTCCCGGGGCCAGGCGACCACGAGATCACTTCGAACCCCCGTCCCATCCAATTCGGCTTGGAATTGGCGTCGGGTGGCCACTTATTCATCCCTGTTGAGGACTTCGGCAGGCTTGAGCAGCGCTCTAGGGGACCTTGCCGCCCAAGCAGCTTACGCTGCTGGCGGCGGGCAGCGACGGCCAGGCCGCGCGCGCCACCGCCGGCCGCGAGGTCCAGAAATTGAAGATCCAGCTTATGAGTCCCTGGATGCCCAGGCGCCGACCTTCATTCCTGCGCGGTCATTCGCGATAGGCTTGGCGGCCGTAGCACTGCCAGGCGCGCGCCCTCGCATTGCCCCGCGCTCTGGACTCGCTCTAAAAGAGATCGACGATGTGGGCGGCGCGGGGGGGCCCGACATCCGCGGCGAGATCAAGGTAATCATGTCGAACGCCAGCCCGCGGCCGCACGGGGTCGAGCAGGGCCGCCGCGTCGCCCTGCTCATGCTGGCACGCGCCACTGACGACGCCGATGTCGCGGTCGTTCCCGACCTTCCTCCTTCGCCCCATGAGTCCGGGGGCGTCGGACATGCTGGCGTGACGTTCCTCGGCCAGGGCTCCATGCCGAGAGAGGTCCGAGGGGTGCGCTCTCGCACCGAATGCCCCAGGGAGCTGCGCCCCAGGATATCGCCGGGCCGGCCCGACAGGCTGGCCCCGCCGACCTGCCACGCCAGAAGTGGGCAGCGGGCCTGGGAGGGCCCCGCCTGGGCCCTGGAACGAGGACGGGATACGTCGCCAGCATTGCATGACCACGTTTTCGACGTCACGCACCGCCGTTGACGTTGTCCGACAGCGCGTTCCCCAGCGACACATGCAGCACGCAGCGGCGTACAGGCCGCGACATTAGGGACGCGGTTCACCGCGTATTCGACCCCCCGCCAGGTTGACGCGCCAGGGTCTGGCATCGTGATATTGGTCGTTGGCTGGCATGGCCACATGTCGAAACGACCCGCAGTGCGACGGGCGATCGAAACCCGCGCGCTTGCATTTCAGCGCGCGTTGGGCTTGCAACGAGCCTCCAGGACCTAGAGCCCAAAGTCGGCAGCGTTGCAGGGCGCTCACCAGGGCGCCCATCGGCTACCAGCTGTGCCAGCGCAGCATCGAGCTAGAGGGGCGCATCGACGTTTGGAGACCGCCGATCGACGCGCGTGTCTGGCCGCGATGCGCCGCTATTTGCTGCATCTTGCGCCCTGCGGCAGTTGCACTTCAACTGGCGAAGGCGCATTGTGGAAAGTGCGCTTCGGACAAGTCACGACGGCATCATGCTCGCCAGCTGCGAACACCTTGTAGCCCAATGGCATCGCGCATGCGCGACGCCAAGCAGCATTCCCAGGACTACGGGGTGCAACGAGATCGCGCGTTTACGCTGCATCCGCGCGCGCGCACTCGCGCACCTCAGGCACCGAGGCCCGCGAGCACGAACGGCCGCAGGAGGCGCCTGGCGACTGCGTTGCAGCGCCAACCCGACGTCGCAGCGAATGCGCCAGCAAGTATAAATCAAGGCGAGTCATGCGACAAAGGCGCGCGAGCAAGCCGTCGAGGACCATTGCGACGATTGCGGCTCCGACCTCACAGATCTGCCCCCCATCTGTTCGGCCTCCGAGCCTTTGGCGACCCGGTTTGCGTAGACGAACGCGACGAGGGCGATCCACGTGGCAACCTCACCGCGGGTTTGCCCGCGCGTTGGTCTCGAGGCACGTCGGCCCCAGCACCGGAAGTTGAGCGCCACATGTTTGATGCTCAACTATCGCAGTCCATCGAGGCCGACGCTTTCCACCAGCTCCTCATCGACCTCACTTCACTCGAGACTCGACTGCGGTGTCGACATCATTGAGGTGTGTGAGGGATAAGCGCGGGCCAGCAGACTGGCTGTTTGCAGCCTGGGACCTGGTGCACATTTCGACTTGGTCACCTGCCGCGACTTCCACGACGAGGAAGAAAAGCGAGCCGCGAAAGGACACGTGGGACAACAGCGGCCACAAGTAGACATCATGTCTCCGACCTGCAGGCCCCTCGATCGCTCGGCCACGTTGAACTGCAAGCAGATCTACCATACCTGGCTGCGATCCCACAAGAAAGCGGCCCCGAATTGCCGAATCTGCAGTTACCTCGCAGATCTACCTCCCGATCTAGGCGGCTGCTTCGTTCACGAGCAGTCCGACCGATCGCGGCTGCGCGACGAGCTGCCATGGCCAACGGCGCTAGTAGCACCAGGCGTTGACAAGGTCATCTTCGACCAGCGCCAGTTTGGGCCTCGAGAAGGCCACGGAGGTGTCTTGTGGAGGACCATCGGGTCGGTCTCCACAGCTCCAGAGGTCCTCGGCAGATCGCGGGCCTCGGATGCCCTGGCAAGCGCGCCCACGTCCAAGTCGAGGGCCACAACAGCTTCGACGTCCAGATCTGGCCACGGAGGATGGCGCGGCGATTTGCCCCAGGAATAGTGGACTTACGTCGCCGTCTGAGGCGATCGCACCTCGCGAACTGCGTTCGTGACCGCGACGTTCGATCAGTGGCCCTCCCGACAGTGGCCTCCAGAGCCACGGGCCGCTAGAGTCCACGCAGC